AAGAGACGAAGAACCGGTGTGTGTAATGGCAAGCCCCGATCCATCGCCAATAATCACTTCGTCGCCACCTTGATACGGAGCATGAAGAGATAGATTGGCCAAGTCCGACGTGACGTGATGAGACGCCCCTGAGTCGAGAAGCCATGGAGAAGACGTCGGGGTTGGCAACAGCGACGTATGGTGAGCACTTGGTCGCCACGAGGAAGGCTCGGGATATGGCTGTTGATCCGAGCGAGGACCCGAGGAGAGCATGTGGCAAGTGCGGGCGCTATGACCTTGCACGCCACATAGTTGACATTTGCCAAGATAAGGTCTCGGCGTTCGGCTAGGCTGAGCTCGATGAGATGAATGTGGGGGTCGCGTCGGGCGAGTATGATACGAGGGTCGAGAGCCATGGGAAGTCGAAGAACGCCATGAAGGCCGAGAGCTTTGCTGAGCATTGTTCGCCGAGATTGGGACGTCCGAGATGCTTAGGGCAGCAAGATCCACGTCATGAGTGAGGAGCTTTTCATGGAGCTCGATGAAAGAAATCGTGATGTCTCGGGCATGAACAGCATCTTTGACGGGTTTGTATTCGTCTCCAAGGCCACCGAGGATGAGATCGATAAGATCTTCGTGATCCATGGGTTTTCCAAGTAAAGCAAGTTCATCAGCCTTTACCTTGAAGAAATTCATATAATCATCAATAGATTTGGCTCCCTTTGTGTGACGACGCATTTGTTCTTTGAGAAGTTTGACATGACCACGACTTGAACGGCCATATGTCTCAGCTAAGGTAGTCCAAGCAGCAGCAGCGGTGGTCGCAGTCGCCACGAGGGCTTGACATGGACCAGAGATAGATCCGAGAAGTGCAGAGAAGACGAGGCGGTCTTGGCGAAACCATGGAGCATAAGCAGGGTTCGGAGAGACCGTGTTGTTCGTGATCAGAGTTGCAGCCGGAACGTTGGTCAGATCGAGAAAGTCGGCGAGATTGTAGCCGTGGAGAAGAGCTCGGAGTTGAATGCTCCATGTGAGATAGTTGTTGGCGGTGAGCTTGGTAACGTTTGAGACGTTAACGTTGATAAGGGTGGAGATAGGATCAGCCGAGTTGTATGGAGTGACATTGTCACTAGGAAGACCACCGGTGGAGCGGAGGTGTTGGATCCTGCTGCGGGAGCAACACATGTTCGGGCGACGGTGGAGCAGTGATAGGCCGACCGGGAAGACACGAAGATAGAGGGGGATATGGACGATCTTCACTCTCGGTCGAAGAAAGAGATGCCGAGAGGTGACGAGAATAAGGAAATTCTGACTCGACAAACTCGACATGACGGGATATATATAGACGAGAAGTTGGGACATGAAGACAAAGGAAAGCACTTTGGGTTAAGGAGTATCCAACGAAGACACAGGGAGATGACCGAGATTGAAGTTTATGATGGGAATAAGGGCGAAGCCATGGGAAACATAGACAACCAAATGTTCGGAGTTTTGAGTAATGGGGAGCAGTTCCGAAGAGTGATTCAAAAGGGGACCGACCTTGTAGGGTAGGTGACGGCATACGGTTTATTAGGTAAACCGCCGTTGGAAGAGCATATGTCCAAAGCTCGGAAGGAATCGAAGCACGAGTAAGAAGAGTAAGACCGGTCTCCACTATATGACGATGTTTACGTTCCGAGACACCATTGTGTTCCGGAGTGTGTGGTGGTGATGTATGGTGAGAAATACCGTTGGAAGAAAGAAATTCTTTGAGTGCAATGTATTCCCCACCATTATCCGAAAATAAAGTGACAATTTTGGTTTGAAATCTGTTTTCGACAAGAGACTTAAAACGAGGAAAAATAGTGGAGACATGAGATTTTTGACGGAGAGAATATAACCAAGTGTATCTCGTGAAATGATCCACAAATATAACATAGTATTTGAAACCATCAAATGAAGTAACAGGAGATGTCCAAACATCGGAGTAAATGAGTTCGAGTGGACGAGTCGAAGTAGCCGAAGAAGTTGAAAAAGGAAGCTTATGGCTTTTATTAATATGACATGACTCACAAACCAAAGGACGACTTGGACGACAAGACAATGGAAGGGAAAAACGAGACAATAGAATCGAGAACTTCACGAGAAGGATGACCTAGTCTAGAATGCCACTCAGAGAGAGATGTCTTGACACTGGATAATGCAAGACTCGAGGGCTTATTGACGGGAGAAGATGAGAAAGGAAGGAACGGCCATTCATACACACCATTCTTAAGTGGCCCGGTTGCTAGTGTTGCCCCCGTGACGAGATCCTTCACCTGAAAGAAACGAGAAAAGAATTCCACGGACACGTTATTATAATGGCAAAGTTGATGAATAGAGAGCAGATTTTTATTCATGGAGGGGACATAAAGGACATTATGAAGAGAAAGGGGTCGTGAGTTAGAGGGAAGAGACGAAGAACCGGTGTGTGTAATGGCAAGCCCCGATCCATCGCCAATAATCACTTCGTCGCCACCTTGATACGGAGCATGAAGAGATAGATTGGCCAAGTCCGACGTGACGTGATGAGACGCCCCTGAGTCGAGAAGCCATGGAGAAGACGTCGGGGTTGGCAACAGCGACGTATGGTGAGCACTTGGTCGCCACGAGGAAGGCTCGGGATATGGCTGTTGATCCGAGCGAGGACCCGAGGAGAGCATGTGGCAAGTGCGGGCGCTATGACCTTGCACGCCACATAGTTGACATTTGCCAAGATAAGGTCTCGGCGTTCGGCTAGGCTGAGCTCGATGAGATGAATGTGGGGGTCGCGTCGGGCGAGTATGATACGAGGGTCGAGAGCCATGGGAAGTCGAAGAACGCCATGAAGGCCGAGAGCTTTGCTGAGCATTGTTCGCCGAGATTGGGACGTCCGAGATGCTTAGGGCAGCAAGATCCACGTCATGAGTGAGGAGCTTTTCATGGAGCTCGATGAAAGAAATCGTGATGTCTCGGGCATGAACAGCATCTTTGACGGGTTTGTATTCGTCTCCAAGGCCACCGAGGATGAGATCGATAAGATCTTCGTGATCCATGGGTTTTCCAAGTAAAGCAAGTTCATCAGCCTTTACCTTGAAGAAATTCATATAATCATCAATAGATTTGGCTCCCTTTGTGTGACGACGCATTTGTTCTTTGAGAAGTTTGACATGACCACGACTTGAACGGCCATATGTCTCAGCTAAGGTAGTCCAAGCAGCAGCAGCGGTGGTCGCAGTCGCCACGAGGGCTTGACATGGACCAGAGATAGATCCGAGAAGTGCAGAGAAGACGAGGCGGTCTTGGCGAAACCATGGAGCATAAGCAGGGTTCGGAGAGACCGTGTTGTTCGTGATCAGAGTTGCAGCCGGAACGTTGGTCAGATCGAGAAAGTCGGCGAGATTGTAGCCGTGGAGAAGAGCTCGGAGTTGAATGCTCCATGTGAGATAGTTGTTGGCGGTGAGCTTGGTAACGTTTGAGACGTTAACGTTGATAAGGGTGGAGATAGGATCAGCCGAGTTGTATGGAGTGACATTGTCACTAGGAAGACCACCGGTGGAGCTTGAAGGAGTATCGGAGGCCATGGTAATAGAGAACCAGCGGCGGTGGTGAGAAGAGTTGCCGAAAAAAAAAAAAATAGGGTTTTGGCGGACAAACGTCGTGGGACGATTTTAGGCTCGTGATACCATAATAGAGTTTGAAGGAAAATAATTCTCTGATTGATTTCATTAGCAATGACATACACGTAATTATATACAATTCGCAAGAGAATAGATATAGGAAATAATATATTACAAGCAAATCAATTTGCTAAGATATTCCTAGATTTATGGTAACCACTAACAGTTTTGTGTTAATGATGGCTCATTTCTCAATATTGTCTCAACAACATTAAATTCATTTTTATCTTATCTCTCAATGACTTTTTTTTTTATCTGTATACTAATTTTTTTTTAAAAAAAATCTACAAAATAATTATTATTTTTTTATTAAATAAACTCGGATTCGGATATTCGTTTCGGATGCTCGTAACTTTTGAGTTTGAATACAAATTTTAAAATGAGATATCTTACCTTTTCCAATATAAATCCAAATACTCCGATTTTACCAGTATCTATCTCAAATCAATAATTAGAAAAACAAACGGTTAAAATCCTCTCAATTGCTAATTGGATAATTCTATTTATATATCTTTCTAAATTTCTTTAAAATTTTTTTAATAATACAATTTTCCAAAAAGAATATTAGACGTGACTAATTGAAAATAAAGTAGTAGGACTCGACAAAATAACACAAAATTTTGAAAAAGATTACAAAATCAATCATCCAATAACACTTCAAAAGCTTGGAATTGCAAGCCAATGAATGGCCCTTTTGTATGAATAAATGTATCAAAAGACTCAAAATTATTGAAATAAAATGTTGATAAAACACACAAAAATGCATGCTTTCTATATTTAGTTTATTTTAATATACAATTTAGCAATCCGAAATTTCAGATATTATTGCTTTTTACTAGGGGTGGCCAATTCGGGTTTCGGTTCGGGTTCGGTTATTTCGGTTATAGAAAAACTATAACCATTCGGTTTTTATATAAATTCTGGTTCGGTTCGGTTCGGGTTCGGTTCGGTTTTGGTAAAAAGTTCAATTTTTCAAAGAAAATGTCGGTTATTCTCTCGGTTTTTTCGGTTATTTTTTATTCGGTTCGGTTTCGGGTTCGGGTTTTCGGGTTTAAGTAAATTATAACCGTTCGGTTTTGATGTCGGGTTCAGTTTGGATACGGTTATGTCTTATTCGGTTCGGTTCGGCTCGGTTATTCGGTTAATAACCGAAATGACCACTCCTACTTTTTAGTATCGAAATTGGAATTGTAAATTAAACAATTTTAAACCGAACAAATCAGCATCCAAATATAAAATTGGATTTCTAAATTTAAAATTACAAAACGAGCATTTCTAGATCTTTTCGGATCTCTAAATATAGAAGATTTAAATCTTGATTCCCAAGGCTCAGAATCTCCGAAAACAAAGAATACAAATGAACGAAGGGCAAAAAGGGAAAACAGAATCAGATTCAGAGGCGGGAAAAGGACACGTAGCGAAATCCGAATCAAACAGGAAGGTGGATCCCAGAAGTTTCGACGAATTCATGAAGAAGGTGAACAAAATCGCCAAGTAATTTGGAATTTGAAATCCGCCGGCCCATGTCGACGGAGGATTGGTGGGAGAATACGATCTATTACCGCTTTCGGAGGATCTGGAGAAGGATCAAATTCCGCCTCGGGATCCGCGACACCGGTAAGTCTTCGCCGCCGATGTGTTCGTCTCTGTTTTTCTTTTCTGTCCGATCATCGATGCGTACGGATCATTCTCTCTTCGTTCTGTGACGATTCTTCGATTTGTTGTTGTGGATTTGGTTGTGCGGTGGCTTGTAAGGATGTGATCTAAGATTCGTTTGCTAGGGTTTTCAGCACTCGGGTTTCTAGGTTAGCGTGATGAGGTGCTCGGATTTCAAACGTTTCTGCGATTTCAAATATATGCTCAAATGCTCCTGAGTTTGTGTTTGAAGAATGTTCTGTCTGGTGATATTCCTTCTTCCATGGAGTTCAGTGATATACGTGGAGAAAGCAAATTACAGTGAGGAACATACCGAGAATTTTCATGGCAATATTCTGTACTTTGTTGAAACAAAGCGAGTTTTCACTTTATTACATTTTCCTGTGTCAATCAATTAGGTATTGTTGTGGAATTCTCATGGCTATTCAACTGTTCATCTGTCAAATTGCCCGTAATCTTATGAATTCATATTCACTGAAAATCCTGCATCAAGTTGTTGCTTCTCCATCCTATATGTTCCGATCTATCAGCCAATCATTCTGTGCATGTCTTGATGTATGTTAATCAAATGTACATTTTAGTTCTGTTAGCAAAATGTGTGGTTAACCCGATGATGATCGGCTTTTTTCATGGCGGGGAAAACCACAAAACAGGACTGCTGAAGCTGAAGCAGGATGTAAGAACAAGCGAGTATGAGGACATACATATACTGTGGGACATGATTCACAAGAAAGAAGAGCTCAGTCGGTATCCTAAGACGCCGAAGAAAACATGCTGGAACCTCGTGGAACTGGCGAGGCGAGCCCCGAGTCTCTGCAGAAACCTTTGAAGGTATTTGGGCAAATCCCATTCCCTCCAAAACATTATAACGCAGCCTCGTACGATCAAAGAATCATGGGACAAAGTTGGTTCTTTCACTTACAAGGGGGGAAGTCTTTTCTCTTCTTACATTTGTTAAAGCCAATGGGTAAATATCACATCATTTATTTATTTATTTATTTATTACTTTAGTGGATTTCTTGATTTCATCCTCCACTTATTGTGATTTACCCATGGGAATAGTTCTTGCTTGTTTTATGATGCAATACTGTTGCTATATAATCGAGGAGAAATCATACATTTGATACAAAGATTCTCAAATGCCAAATCCTCATATCTAAGTCATTTTAATCCGTATTTACTTAACTACACCTATCATGCAATGAATAGCTTTAACTTAATAGTTCAACCCTTAATGGTTTATCTGATATATCTAGAGTTGCAATTCTTGTTACACATAAGTAAAAATTAATCATTATAGTGGATTGCAAAAAAACAAGAATCTGAACTTTGAATCTAAGGTTTTGTATGATGTTGGGCAACAAAGAGAAAAGGAATTGATACAAGAATGTAATGAAGATACATGAAAAATTGAAGCAAACTGTCCGTTTTTGGAGATCAATCAAAGCAAAGATGCATAAACTGTATACTAGGAAATAAGATTTAAAAAAACTAAGTGACAGATGATAATAATAATAATATAATATAATAGGGAAAGTCGTAATAAAGCTTATTAGCTTTTAAAAAGTTTATTTAGTAAATGTGAGAAGGAAAAAAGTGGAGGTGCGGGGAATCGAACCCCGTGCCTCTCGCATGCGAAGCGAGCGCTCTACCATATGAGCTACACCCCCTCGATATTCGAGCTGATCCTTTTTCATTAATAATCAAAATTATGTTTTTTTAAAATATTCAATTCTTCTCTGTTTCTTCAATGGCAATTACTGAGCTTCTACTCTCTCTCTCTCTCTCTCTCTTGATTTCTTCCCACTCCACATTGAAGAAGATAGATTGAAAACCCACATGATCCTTCTTTATTACCCTCACTTTCAACCACATAATTTGTCTTCTGAATTCTGCAACAGGGCATGGCTTCTTGATATTCAGCCACGCCTCTCTCCATCTCTCTTCTCTACTCTTTTGAAACCTTTCAGCTTGATTTTATTGCTCTGTTTCTCTCATTTCGACATTCCACGTAACTGTCGTAAACGGGTACGTGCCTTGAAACTCGAAGGCAAATGTAGTTATACTTCTGAAAAACAAGAAAGGACAAGAACCCTTCTTGTCTTTCCCCCTCTTAGTTTCTGGGTTCATTTTTGTCATCTGGGTTTTCGACGTTTGGAACAGGAACCTCGGATCCAGATACAGAGTTTTGAAGATGTTCAAGCCATGGGTTTTGTTCCTTTTCCCAGTTCTGTTCCTCTCTTTCGCCTGCATTTCCCTTTCTTCTTCCCCCAACAAAATTTCAGGTACTCTTTTTCTCTGGCCATTTTAGCTCCTTTTAATCGCTTCTCTCCATAATATGTTGGGTAGGATTCATAAGAATCGATCTAATCTTGCTGCATGTCTGTTCTCCTGCATCTCCTATTCGTTCTTACATTTCCTTTTTTGTTTGCATGATTGATCTAAGTGTTTCTTGAAACGTTGTTACAGACATCGAAGTCACTGACAAGGAACGTGGTTTTCTGGTTTCAGACCATTCCAAGAACTTGAAGGTAATATGGATTGCATATGACGTTAAGACTTGATGACACTTTTTAATTTTGATCTTAGAATCATGCATGCCAACACCATCAGAGACAAAATCCCCTCGTTTCCGTTATGGCATTATCAATGTTTGTGGCCCTTAGGTTAAGGCTCTTGTCCATCTTTCAAGTGTTGGGAGTTCTAACTAGAGCTTGACATAGGTTGAGTATCCGACCCTGAATTCGAGTCTCTTGCGGGTTTGGACCGCCACTAGATTCGCGTTGTTTCGGTAACCGAGCTTTGGGTACCCGCGGGATGTTTATTTCTCTAGCCCTAGTTTGAACCATGCCTAGATCACATCCGCTAATCGAATAATTACGACATGGCTTCCCAATTCTTGATCTGATTTCACCTTACCAACACCTCGTTTCTCCTGAATCTTATGAACTCAGGAGACTAGCCGCAATGGAAAGCCTAACACGCTCGGGTCGGAGAACAAAGGCGAGTTCAATGAGGAGGATTACGGTCCGGTCGACCCTTCTCCGACAACAAAGGCATCGATCAGGCCGGGACCTATACAACACGGGACTCCTCTCAACCCGTACATCCCGAAGCCGCCGTCTTCTCCAACTCATCCTAGAGATGGTGGATAGAGATGCCTTGTGGCCCAAGTTAGGGTTTGCATGCCTATCTATGTTGTATGCTTTCACGTTCACGCTTCAGGGTTTTGTTCGTTCGTTTTTTTTTTGTCTCTGCGTTTGTAAGTTTGGTAAGATCGATGCACTGTTGTCTGTAGCTTGTATTTTTGTAACCTTAGATCGTTTTGTTGGTGGTTCATCGCATTGGGGATCTAAATCAATGTAGAACAATGTAGCTTCATCTCAAATTAAAAAATAATAATAATCTTTAGTATAAAATGTACATGTTCATACTCATACATACATATACACATATATATATATATATCTATACACACATATATATACATATATAGATGTACGTATATATGTATATATATATGTATGTAAATATGTATGGATGTCAATTTTAATTCGAAACTTGATCCGAATTCGTTTGAAAAATATCGGATTTCTAAGTCTATAATTTTAGGCGCGAGAAATTTTTTGCTTTTGATACTGAGTTAAACCGGGCTTTAAACTTGTCCGGATGCCCGATTTAATTTTTTAAAAAAATAAGTGAAAAAAATTGCACACTAGTAAAGATGTCGAACGAGTGAGTCGGTCTGAATACGATCTAAAGTTCTATAGCCAGGACTTCAGATTTAATTCTATAGATCTAAAAAATTTGGATCGCCCTTAATCCAAACTCGAAATCTTCGGGCCGAATGCGGGTTCGGTCGGAACGATCGATCCGTTTGACACCCCTGTATATATATATGTTATATATATGTATGTATTATAAGTATATGTGTATGTCATATGTATGAAACTTTTTTTATTTTTATTTTTATTTTATTTTATTTTATTTTTCTTATTAGTTTTATTATATTTTTAATATTTTTATTATTTAATAATAATTAATAATGAGAAAAAATTAAAATATTTAAACTTATAAAATTTTAGATAAATATTTGAAGTATAAATCTTTTATATAAATACCTAAAATTTTCACAAATCTTATAGAAATATCTAAACTTTTGAAATTTTTATAAAAATTAGATATTTATATACGATTTTTTAAATAATAATAATAATAATTAGTGAAAGCTTTCGGAGCCAATTGGGAGAGAGTGAGAGATGGAATGGAACCCACTTAGGATGGAGGAGGCCGAAGATGAGTGATTAGCTTCGACGTCGACTCCGACGTGTATTCCATACAAATGGGACCCACTCTCCCTTATGACTTGCATGTTCAATTGTGGCTCTCTAACTCTTTATATATATATATATATATATATATCCTTTTAGACTATGGTTTCTCTTGTGTTATACGCACACAACATGTTGCGTATATCACATTTATTAAATACATAGACTAATCATGGCGTTGAGAAACACAAAAATATGAAAGTAATGAGATATTATAATTTACATATATACTGCTTGTCTCTCAAGTTATGATTGAAGGGACTTATTCCTCAATAACACTGCTAATTATAATTAATATGTTCATTATAGTTGGCTTTGTGTGATTATAGATGTTGGATAGACCAAGAAAACTATTACTTCCTCTTTTTCATTTTAAATGACGTTTTAGAACAAATTTTTTGTTTTAAAATAAATAACGTTTTCAGATTTTCAATATATACTTTTTAATGAATTTTCCAAATTTACTCTTATTTAATAATATTTAAATATTCTACCAATGATAATTATCTATGCAATAAATAAAGGTATTTTGGATAAAACATTATTTTTCTTAATTTGTGTGTAGAATCCTTAAACGTCATGTAAAATGAAACGGAGTAATAAACATCGTAAAGTGAGCATTTTTCTTTTATTCTTTTTATCCACTAGCTAAATAAATATCAATTTCTTTAATTTGACGTGCATTAATGTGTTCTTTTTTTTTCTTGATTTATATAATTTAGAGTTTTTTTAAAGAAGAATTAGAATTATAGGGTTTAATTTTAGTGAGTGATAAAGTTGAGGTTTTTATTTGGATTTTTCATCCTCCGAAAAAACCAATCCCGTCAAACGCGAAAACACGATGTTTTTTTTTTATCTAAATCTAAATCTATCATCTCACATTATTTTTTTTAAAAGTAATCCAAGATAGTAAAACTCGGATGGAAGAACACTTTGTATTTCTTTCTTACCGTTTTTTCATCCATATTTGAGTTAATTAAATATCAAATCATAGAACACTAAAAGAATTTGAGGCACGTGTTTGTGTATAGGTGTGGGGAAAGATACGAGGGAAAAAAAAGGTTGAATCATTCAATAGGCGTTGATATCTTTTATCGTTTTTATTTTGAATTCGCGAAAGTTAATTATGGTTAATTATTTTTCATAATTTAGTTAACAAAAAACTATTTTTAATAATTATTAATTAGTTTTTTTTATAGATCACAACATGTTTTGAATAACGTTCAACTATAAATCGGTATCTTTAAACCTTGTACATTTAGATTAATACTCGTTCGTCCATGTATCAACACATTAAACGATAAAAAATTGATCTAAATGATTGTTTCATCCCTTGGATAGGGTTCGAACCCGATCTCTGATTAATTTTAAAATTCAATTTGATTATTATATATATATATATATATATATATATTGCGTTAAATTTGGTTTTAGATGTAGGTTAAGAACTTACAACACCATATATTATATAAATATCCATGTTTATAATTGGATCCATAACATGACATACAATAAATTTCAACTAGAAAAGCCTTTGGGGAAACTTAAGTCAATAAATTGGCATTTTGAATTTGACACAACACTGTCCATTGTTCAGAACTCCTTCCATTTGAAAATATCCATCGGTTAAAACGTTCCCTCAAATGACAATTGTCCTAAAATGGTATTTTATTACATTTAAATATAAAATATTCTATAAAATTTAGATGATTTAATTCAGAGAATTATCGAGAGAATTGAAATACTTTTTTTTTGTTTATAAAGTTAGCGAAGTTAAAGAGAATAATGATTTTAATTATATAGCTAAATGAAATTTGAATTGATAAAATTAACAGAGTTAGAATATTATCAGTTGTTGAGTGGTAAAAGGCTAAGGGAGAATCTCGTATCAATGCATCAAGTTTTATGAAATCTCTATAAAGTTCATCGGAATATTATAACCCTATATTCATACATCATTTCTATCCATATAAAATAATATTTTTTTTTATACTTGTCTGAAAATTTCTTATATATATTTATTAAAAATTAAAACTTTAAATATTTTTCATATTTGTATTGAGTTTAAGACATTATTTGACTTGAAACAACAGTCATTACTCACTTCACTACCTCCAAGATCCCGCTTTTCTTTAAAATAAAATAAATTACATAACAAAAGGAAGTAATATTATTACACCTTTTCATTTATTATTATTTATTAATATCAAAATTTATTCCACTATATTCGCCGGCGATGTCCAAAAAAAAACATACTTCGCCTTTTTTTCTCAATCTCACTCATACAGATCAAACAAAGAGATTCAAAAGCTTAGTCTCCTCGCCGGCGTACCCTCGCCGTCTCCGATCATCTTCTCCGCCGCTCTCGAAGCTCGTCGCCGTCGTCGATGACGACGAAACTTTCTCCTCCTTCCAACACGACGCCGTATAGTCCCTCCCTAGCCCCCGGAAACCAGACTTGGCACGACCCCTCCTCTTCCCCATCCGCCGGTGATGAATCCACCCGCCGGAATCTTTTTCCGCCGGCGAACCGTCGTACGGTGGCTTGAGAACTCCACCGGCGAGGACAGTCTCCACCGCCTCCTCGCAGAGCCGCCACTTTCCGCTCAAAAGCAAACCCACCACTCCATCCACAGGGTTCACCGTACGCCCACAAGCCTCATACAGTAACGACTTTATCAAATCTACAAAAAATGGAAAAAAAAAATCAAAACCCGAAATCATATGTATATATATATGTGTGGGTATGTATGTATATATGTGTACCGGGGCGTTGCGGCTGAGGAACGGCGGAGATGAAGGAGAAGAGGTCACTGCGACCAAAGAACTTGGCGAGGAAGAGGGTGACGTGGCCTTGGGCCTCTGGGGATGCGATCCACTGCAGGCACGTCCTCAGTACGCATCCTTCGCGGCACCCTTTTCTCAACACCCTGCACCCGTTGCAGCTCATCTCTCCGCCGTCCGATCTACCTCCACCCACGATCCGACGGCCTAGATTCCTTCCGACAGCAACACCTGACCTTACACGAACACTGTCAGAGAGGAGGAGGGAGGGTGGGGTTATAGAGAAGGCGATGATCGGGGTTAGATGTTGACCCTGGCGTTGGGTTAGTTCTTGACCATGGTTTATGAAAAGTGGGATGTGGGGTCCACCAAATGCGATGGATAGAACAGACTGAGAGGAAAAAATCGAATATTTAAATATTATAATCTTCCAAACTCTGGGCACGAGCGGTTCCGTTTCTCCGCTTCTCTTTTTTGGTGAGGAAGATTTGTGGACCGTTAGATTCTCTTGTCTTCCGAGTGATGTGAACCGTCCGATTCCACTCGCTGTTTCACTGACCCGAAATAAAAAAATACTCCCTCTGTTTAAATTTAAATGTCGTTTTAGGTTCTTTTTTTTGGTTTAAAATAATTGACGTTTTGTTATTTTCTATGCATTTTTTATACTTTTTTCCACTATTACCCTTTATTAATATGGCCAACTGTACGTAACAATTATTTACACGGTTTCCTATTTTTCTACCCTAATAATTATTGATCAATTTCCAAGTGTTTGCCTTTTTTAATCTTATTTAAATCTTTCCTTAGAACAACATATTATACAGAACGGAAATTTTTTTAAAAAATTATTAGTTCATCAATATGGAAATGAAGATGGAAGTGAAGGAAGAAGAAGATACATTTGTGAGGCATGTTTCATCAACCAATAATGGAAGTTCTGGCGTGAAATACCGATTCGACTTGAATAAGTTGCACTATGATGATGGAGAGCTCCACCCTAATAAGGAGTTTCAACAAGTAATTATGGGTATGTTGAAAATTATGTTTCCGAAATACTTTTAGATCGATAGTCGTTTGGTATGAGTTACAAGGAAACATAAAATCAAATGCTATGCTGCTAATAAATTCATTACATTTTGCACTAACATAGGAGTAATAAAGAATTAAATAAATATAAAAACGGAAGCTCTCTCGTGTTTCGTACTTTTCGCGGTACGAATCTTTCCCCCCGAGTAGGTTTTATAATATGACTATTTTAGATCCTTTTGTTGCAAGTTGAAGTGGGTGTCTTAAAATTTCTGAATAACCTTTTTTTGTTTGGTCGGAAATTCCAATTCTGCATAAATATTTTTATGTATATATAGAGAGAGAGTTATTAGATTCTTCTCTTTATTTTATGATATTCCTTGATGGAAATCATCATAGCATAATTGCTTGATCGATTACATCGCATTATGTGTAACACACAAAATTAGTTGCGATTGGTCCAATATCACATTCACATGTGAAAATCGCATAATCTCATGTTGTTTTTATGATTGTTAGTGATTATGTAATCATTATACATTTCCCCATTATTCAAAATATTGTACAAAAACTGTGGGATTGTTATAATTTCGCAAATAAAACAACAATTGTTATTGGTGCAATTAATGGGGCACTTACAACGACAGAGAAGAGAATTCGTCACCATCAATATTCCTCCTCCTCCCATACCATTCGGCCGCATTTGAGGGAGGAACAATAATACCTCGAAAAAGTAATGCACTTTTATTAATTACAAGCTTTTTTATTTATTACTATTATTTAATTTATAACCCCTGCAAAATTTGGATTTTACGATCTAACATATGTTAGATATCTAAATTTATGAGAAATTTAATAATTAAAATGAAATATTATAAATTCACAAAACAAATAATTTTCTAAAGGTTCGATGTATATTTGGTGATGGATTGAGTGACGAAGAAATTCACACATCAATGAACTAATTCAATTGTTCTTGAAACAGAAAAATCAAAAGAATCAATGTTTATATGTATTATTGAAAAGTAAAGAATAAATTCTTTAAATATAAGCAACACAAAAAAAATGAAAATGAAAATTTTATGACAATTTCCAACCAAATAAAATAAAAAAAAAAAATGAACAAAAGAAATCGAAACAATATAGCTGATAAAAAAATATAACATATTCTATAAGATAATATAATTATAAATGTGGTAACGAGTTGCCTTTTGCTCCATTCTTAGAATATGGTATGAACTATTGATTTTTTATTAAGAGACGAAGATATTGAATCATCTATGTCAATTCTTTTGCTCTATATACAACTAATATTTAATATACTTTTAATATATAAAAATTATATGGTCCAACCCTTATCTATATCATAAAAAATCATCAGAAATTAAATCAATTATTCACGATGGATCTCCAAAATTATTCTTTTTTATCAAATCTTTTTTCTTGGCCATAGATTTTTTGAATATATGAAATATTACTAAGTTTTTGCTTAGATACGTAAAACGTATGTATATACAAATACATAAAATCATATATTTATAGAAAACTTAATATAATTAAACAGTAAAGATAATAAGTAAAAAATTTAGAAATGTGGCTCACTCATATCAGAGGTAAAAGAATTCTGATTAAAATTATTAGTTAACTTTAATCAAAATTTAGGAGAACCAAAATATAAACCCAAATTGACATTTTAATGTAGTCACCACAAATTGAGATTCTGACAGTTGTAATTTCTGTTTTTTTTAGAAAACCAGAAATCAATCAGAATTTGAGGGTCGAGATCGAGGTATGAACATGGTTAAATTGTGTATATGATGATATTTTGTAGCTATCAGTGACCAAGTCCAAACAATCCCTCGATTTGGTTAACGACAAATTAGAAACAGAATAGAAACCCGAAAAGAGACACGTCTGAACTGAGAGTGTAGGATTTCAGATTAAATCGGAACCGAGAACTCAAAGTGTCGCAGACTAAAAAGTCGCAAAGACGCGGGAAAGTTAAAACACTAGTCAAAATGTGAGACAAAGGCTCCTGGTATTTTAGAATGTCGATTGCCATAGCCACGCACACGAGACTGTGTACTTTCGAAGTCCCAAATCAAAAAACGAGAGGAATGTTCGAGAAAGGACAAAACAGAAGACATATCATTAGTCGATCAGTTTTTGTATGTTCGATTTTAGAAAGCTAGTTCAAAAAATACACTAGAAAAGTCGCGATCGTCGCCATATGTTACAGAACAATGGCGCCGATAATGCAATACTGGCAGAGATCTCACCGGCATTAAAAGAAAAAATAGACAGAAAGTTTCAAAAATAAAACCTTGAATTTATGTTCAAATCTGCACATGCATATATTATGATCTTTCGATTAGAGGTTGAGTAAACGTATTTATATGCAGAATCGATTAATAACTTCAGGAAAATGAAATCTAAGAAATATTTGGGGAGGGTTAAAAGATTTAGGGTTTTGAAATAGAAACAGAAACTTACCAAAATTTTGAAACCCTAAATCAGAAAAGGAAACCCAGGGATAGATGAACCGTTAACTCGCCGAAAATTGGTTAAGAACTCGGATTGTGGCTCTTCAAGCATTAAAATCAGAGATACATACGGAATCATCAAAGATTTGAAGTCAGAGGTTTAAATACCTAAAAATCCAGCTCGAACAAAAGAATCCCAATGATATTTTTTGATATTTACTGTTTGAATCCAAAAGATTTTACCTCAAACGTGTGAATATGGAAACATATACATATTTTCATATACACTTGTCGACTTCAGGAAAAAAAAAAATGTTTATGAGCAAACTAGGCAGATTTTCAAAGCATAAAACCCAAGAAAAAACTAAAGAAACAAAAAAAAATTCAGAGAGAAAACTCTATGAAGAATGAAGAGGGAGAAGTTCGAAGACGAAATGACAACTGTGTCAATCGTCACTTCGATTTTAATGATCTCAAGAATCTGTTTCTTGACCTGGACCAAAAACTATTTGGTATAATGTGTGGCCCAACACGTTGACCGAAGAATCATAATTTGAAAAAAATACAAAAATTTGGGCCGAAATTCGGCAGACCCATGATGGGCCAGCATTAAACAGACACAAGATTGGATAAATCAACAATAATGTTGTAAGTGTCCAGATTCGAAACCGGATCAGGAGCAAGCTGAGAGATGCAGCAACCACTGAACGACATACGTTACTTGGCATATGCTCGCACTGACAACATGTTATTGCAATAAAGTCCGAATAAATTATAACATCAAATTCCGAAATTTGATAAAGTTCACGAATAAAAAATATGAGGGATTTTATGGTAAAACAAGATTCAATAATAACGAATATGATATTTCTTAGTAAGTTGTTCTGTGGTGACAACTTGCCAAAGTGAGCTCTCTCGTCAAAGGGGTAACTCTACTAAAAAACTTTTAAAGTATATTCGGTATGTTGAGATCTTCATGCGAATATGGAACGATACACAAATGATAGAAAATATTTGGCAGAACCACGAACATACATGTGATGATAAATACAATTATCATACGGATGCTCGACTATCAAAATCGACCCAAAGAAAAGAAGAGAGATTGAGACATGAAAAAGCAGATGTCGCTCATCTTATATCCTCATCAAAGAATAAGGACGTGCGCAAGAAACACCCAAAACAAAAGGAAGCTATTCTAACCTAGTTCGCAAGAAGTTGTTCAAGAAGTTGGTGAAGAGCTTCACATGCTTCTTCTCCAAGAAAAGTGGGCACATGAAGAAGGATTGCACATCCTATGAGGTATGGCTTACCAAGAAAGGCAAACTTCTTACTTTGGTTTGTTCTAAAGTTAATTTAACTTCTGTACCATAACATATTTGGTAGGTAGATTCAAAGGTTACTACTCACATTAGTGTGTCTATGCAGGGATACATAAGGAGTCGGGAGCCAAGTGACTTTGAGAAACACATTTACTTGGGGAACAACATGGCTGTGGAAGTTGAAGTCATTGGCATATTTATATTATTATTAAGTAACAATTATTATTTGGATCTTGAGGAGACTTTTGTTGTTCCGTCTTTCAGAGAAACTTGATTTCTATTTCTATTTTGGACAAATTTGGTTATTCTTGTTCATTTGGGAATGAATGTTTTTCTCTTTACAAAGATTCTATTTTATTAAGTTTTGGTACTTTATCAAGATACGATAATCTTTAGATGTTAAACACAATCGCTTTGTACAATGAAAATTTCCAAGTC